ATTATGTGTACCACAGACATATCTATCAGTTTAGTCAATAGTTCGAAGAGTAAAACTGGCAGGAATTTAAGAAAAACGAAATAAAAAAGAGAAAATAAATAACAAACGAATAGAAACGAGGCAAACAAAAACCAGAGCGCCAGTAAAAAGAGAATAAAAAACCAATTTCTGTAAGAAATGCACAGATAACTAAGACAGATTATTTGTCTGACGACCGATTATCATAGGACAGCAACTATTCCCCGTTAGAGATTTTTCACTTTAAGTATTTATATTAGTGTAGTGAAGGTAAGGAAGATATGGGAGTTCCACGTCTCAATCCTAGAGGAGTTGCGTTAATTTCTTATTCTACGTGATCGCATATAAAGCGCAAAAAAGGTAAAAATCGAGTGGACTTTTTTCTCATTCTTTGGTATATGATTTAATAGAACTTGACGAGATGGACACCAATATATAATTTTTAGTTCGATTCGCTCACTATTTGGCTAGAAAAACCGTCAAAATTTGAATGACTGGAAATGTAGCATTGATAATCATGAACTCACTTTTCTTTACAGAAATCATCAACTTTCAATTACATTTATTTTACTAAATATTTTCAAAATATTATATTTTCAATTAGCATAAAAATATGGAGAAAACATGTTATTTAATTAGATTTAGAGTCGCAATCTTATAGAATATAGCAGTCATAAGTAGTCGTTTTCCGATGATCTACGGCAATAGGTTCCCGGTGTCGAAAATCGTCAGAAATGTTTACAATTGTTTCGAATTTCGATTTACGGATCTGATCCGATTCTGATCATTGGAATGAATTAGGATTTAATGAAGTTCAGCGATCACATTGTCTTTATCGATATCAACTTTCTTTGTTAGCACATTATTCCTCACTGAGTGAGCAATCGATTGAACTCAAGACAAGTTGTATAACCCTTTTAAGGTTGCTGTACATATAGATGACACATGTTTATGAACTATTGTTGAAGAAAAGATTTTGTGCATTAGATCAGGTTGCTGTATTCCTTATTGTTTTCAGATTGTGAAAAATATCAACTGATTACTACAAGACTTTTTTGCTCAAGTTTACAGAAACAAAATGGCTGAAAGAAAAGATAAGTGTTTACAAGAACAGCGCTTCATACCCGATTCTATCGTTCCAAAACGACTCATTGCTGACGAGTACGGTTGGGTTTCTCCCTTCATATTGGAAGTTAGAAAATATTTGAAACTAGAAGAGAAACAATTGCCTTCGAAAGATGAAACAATCGTTCCGATGATTGTCGAAAAAGCCGTTTTCGGTATTATTGAAGAAGGCAAGAAACAGGGAAAGCCGAGTGAAGCCGAGTGTTTGGCTATGAAGTTAATGAAGCAAAGAAACAACGGAATGAAAGAAGTATGGAAATGTTGTATGTATCTCTACACTCTGGAAAGTTTCTTATATAAAACATTGAATGAAGCTATGAGATTGACTGGAGATGAGGAATATAAACATATCTGGACAAGTAAACTTCACACATTGGGACCTTTTTGTTTATTGCTCTGGGACAATCCATTCAACAATCGACCAAACAGGAAGAACCAATTACTCTATCGTGGAACTCATCTCACCGATGATATAGTTGCCTATTTCAAGGATAATGCTCAGGATCCAAATAAATTCTATTCGTTTCAAGCATTCACATCGTGCACACGTAATCGTGCTATTGCTGAAATGTATGGCAACGCGTTATTTGTTATGGAAGTGAAATATGCGTATACTGTGGATGTTAGTCCATTCTCTCGATATCCCGCTGAAGAGGAAGAACTTGTAACACCTGGTGTTTGTTTTAATGTGCAGCATGTAGAATTCAACAGCACAACGAACAAATACTTGATCTATCTACAACTGCAACACCGCTTCATTGGTGAGTATGATTCAGGTGAGAAGTTTCTATAGGATGATCAAGGAGGTTTTACCTCGTAATCTCACCAGTGAAAAATATCGACAACGGATAATTCCGGGAAAGAATAACGAATCAACTAGCTTTATAAGTGAGAGTTCGTAGTTTTCGAACTGGATGTGATCATTGAGCACTGTGACATTGATATAACACTTGAATATATCTTAACTAGCAAAAGCTAATGGAAAAACTGTGACAGAACTGGAAGCGAATCGATATACCGATGCTGGTCTGGCCGCTATAACTTCATATTGGTCGGACATAAGTTAGCAGAACACCAGTAGCACAGGTAGTCTAATTTTGCTACCAAAAACTTCTTTTCTCTGTAAATAGTCTATAGCTTGATTACATTATATCACACTGAGCCGAATTTAGATGAAGTACAGAACAAATGCTGCTGCGTCGATCCATATACATTAGCGGTCAAAATTATCCGACCACCCCAGAAAATTCTAGTATTAGCTTTATATTTCAATGATAGAAGACACCATAGAGTTTTGATTTCTACTAAACTGTAGTTCATGGTTTCTAGTATATTGCCCCAAGTTTCATTCCGAAAGAAAAAATCTATTCTTCAAGATGCACTACTTTTTGATCCAACTGATTTCTCTGAAAAAGCCAATAATAGCTGGTTTCAATTCATATCCCTAATTGTATGACAAAGGTAGGGATTGTTTCTCAAGTTGTTAGCGAAATTTTAATTGAAAATGTGCTATCATAGAATCTAAATGCATGGTTAGAAGACCATGATAAACTCCACCTAAAATGTTATTTTAGCATTTGTTTTATCGTAGAAAGTTGAGTTGATCTATTATCATACTTACTTTTTCATCCTTGTAGTAATACATAGGGTTTGTCGAATTCGCTTATTCTTGAATCGAAAACCATATTGGAAATGTTTCAAACACGACAGATTTGTACAAAAATTTCTTTCTCTACAAAATTGGCATAGGTAAAACTGAAATGGATCTGATTACAAGGAATTGTATGCATTTTTCCTGAATGGACGAATATGGAATGACCTTGGTTTTCATTGACCCCAATCAGAACTTAGGCTCAATTAGTTTTTGAACAATGCTTAAACATATAACGTTTGCTGGTATTGTGGTCAAAATTTTATGCTCGTTCTATTACGATATAGAAAAATGAAATTGGGTTTGTATTTAGTGAAATTTTAGCTTAAGTTCTGATTGAGGTCAAAAAAAAACAAGGTCATTCAATTTTCATTCACTGAGAAAAAATGCATATACTTCTTTGAAATCAGAATTATTACTTTAGTTTTACCTATGTCAATTTTGTAGAGAAAGAAATTTTTGTACAAATCTGTCGTGTTTGAAACATTTCTAATATGGTTTTCGATTCAGGAATAAGCGAATTCGACAAACCCTATGTATTACTACAAGGATGAAAAAGTAAGTATGATAATAGATCAACTCAACTTTCTACGATAAAACAAATGCTAAAATAACATTTTAGGTGGAGTTTATCATGGTCTTCTAACCATGCATTTAGATTCTATGATAGCACATTTTCAATTAAAATTTCGCTAACAACTTGAGAAACAGTCCCTACCTTTGCCATACAATTAGGGATATGAAGTGAAACTAGCTATTATTGGCTTTTTCAGAGAAATCAGTTGGACCAAAAAGTAGTGCCTCTTGAAGAACAGATTCTTTCTTTCAGATGGTATATCTTAAATTTGCATTTAAGTTGGAATGAGTCCGCAATGAATGGTTGAAAAATGTGGTCGGATAGTTTTGACACAATGACAAATGCGATGACGTCACTATTTTGTGAATAAAAATTGAACAATTTGATAGGATTAGATGAAACTTGGTGCATAGATATTAGAGACCGTGAACTATAGTTTAGCAGAAATCAAAGCTCTTTAGCATTTTATATCATTGAAATATCAAGATAATAATAGAATTTTCTGAAATAGTCGGATAATTTTGTCTGTCACTGTACAATTGATTATCAATAGAGTCATTCTTTATTCCATAATAATCATAATATCATGATAAGCGTACGTTTTTTTTAATTTTTCTTCTATTGTTGCGATTCGTTATATTTTTATTTTTTATTGTTTCTGTTAACATGTAAAACGACATGTCTCAGAGAGAATAACGTAATTTGTTGGAAAAGATCACCACTGATTGAGAGAAGAAAACATACCATTCGACTTGTCTAATCACGAAGCATGGTTTCATGTTTTGTAAAAACGAATAAAATTCATTTCCAATTTCTTGCGCGTCAATTCATATTATTTTCTGTCAGCAAGTGTTTTACGTATGAACAAAACAATAAAAAACAAAAAATATAACGAGTGGAAGCAATACAAGAAAAATGAAAATATGCCTCTGTTTGTTTTGATACGATTGTCATGAAACAGAGAATGTTTCTTTTCTAGTCAAATGTATATGGATCAACGCTGAAGTCTTTGCTCTATCCAGATTTAACAGTCAGACGTAAGACTTGTGGATCAGAATTTTAATCGTATATGATCTTGTAATATCAGAGGAAAATCATGTGAAAAATCGTGATGTCTGCAAAGCTTACATCAAGCCTTGATATATGATTTTTTTAAGATCATATTATCTGTACGATCTTAGAAGAATCATATATCGAGACTTGATGTAAGTTGTGCAGACATCACGATTTTTCATACGATTTTCTCCTGATCTCACAAAATTATACAAGATCAGAGGTGGAACGTGTCAGATCTTACTATATGATTGTTTATCTTGGATACGCCTAACCTAATATTCAGCTTAACACGATAACGCAACCGACCTTTACATTAAGTACTGAGAAGTTAATTTCTTTGTGGTAGGATTAGGCTCAATTACTCTATGGTTTGCGGAAGGACGAGAACTGATGAAGCCACTTTTCGTTCGCAGTAGCTTTGACGAGTAACTACATGAAGATAACAAGGTCAATGTGGCCTTCAAGCCTGACACAATCATTTTTTAGAGAGTGAGTTTGGAATTTTTGATCCGAGTACCACTTACAAGGTTTTGAAAAGCTTTTTTCGGACTCAATTTTAAAAAATAGCTAAGAATGCTAAGTTAGTTACGCTGATCATGAATATCATATTTAAATTTCAGAAACGTAATGGTAAAACAACAGACGATATTCACCTATATTCAGATTTTAGCATTCAAATCGGTTTTTGACCTCTTGCTCATGTACAATGACTCCTGAAAAAGTCAGAAAAGCATAATCTAGGTGTAAGTTTTAGGGTTCTGTGCAATTTCCGTGAAATGAACATCATAAAAATGTTCTATTCTTTTATAATAGTGAAATATGAGCAGAATGAGCATAAAATCAAAATAGATATCGCTCTTTCCAGTACTGCCAATGGATGAAACACCCTTAAACTTATGTCAGATTGTAATGATTCGATGTCATTTTTCATGCTTTATGCAAATATTTAATCGAATCGATTAAAAGCCGCTCGAATCAATCGAAGATTGCGATATAGCAGCAAAACTATTCTATTTTTCAATGGCTCTTTGGTTATTTCACCCTAATATCAGTGTCGTTCAACTTTTTTTCTTTTGATTTATGCTCAAAACTTGCTAATGTACTTTATTCCGTATCCACAAAAAATATATGCTAAAGAGACGTTTTTTTGGAGATGTTGTAAAGTCAGCACATGCTCAAGTTTTGACATCAGATGCAGAAATTGAGTGTTCTCGAAAGCTTCATAGTTCAGAAATAATGTACCAATTTTCGCTAAAGCTTTTGAAACATTATATTTCTTATTACATCCATTACTTTTTAGTAGTATATAACTATAATTATTTGATTATTTTTCACATGCGTGTTAGATTTGAAAAAACATGACATACTAAACAATTTGGAACGAACATCAACCAACAACGCTTCCATTACAGGTGATTATCCATATGAAAATGACTATATTGTTCTTCGAGATCGTGATGGTGATCCTATTCCTGATGATTTGGATGCTTATATTCTTCGTGATTGCCCTGACATTGTTGCCGATCATTCTCACGATAGTGTTCCTGCTGGCTTTGCATGTTCTGTTCCTGATTATTGCAGTTCTCGTCGTCATGGTCGTGTTCACAGTCGTTCTCCTCTGACTCCTCATCGTAATCTTCGTGTTCGTTCTCCTCACGATAACCATGCTCGTCCTTCTTCTCCTGACGTTCTTTATCGCCTTGTTATTGACAATTTGTTCTCGCATGACGTTCCATGATATAACTACCCTAGGAGGACACAGCTGAAATCAGATTTTTTCGATTTAACTGATTAAACCGATTAAACAGATTCTTTTTTGAGACTTTTTTGGTTCTTTTTTGATTTTTTTGATTTAAATCAATTGATTTTAAATCAAAAAAGAGATCAGAAAAATCAAAAAAATCAAAAAAATCAAAAGAAATCTGATTTCAGCTGTTTTCACTCTTGATTGATGTTTTTAAACAAAAGAAATTAAAAATTTTCTGATTTTTTTGATTTT